ATAAAATGAATCAAAGTTTAATAACCCGCCAACCACATAAAATTTCGTACGTTCATTCTTCTCACCAGAAGATCTATCAACAAAATTCAACCAACCAACCAAAACTTTCTTTTTCTTTATTTTTTTTTTTTTAAATTTAATGGGTCAAATCACCTTTCAGTAGTATCAGGTCTGTCGCACGTGCTACCAGTGAGTGTCTCCCCCCTCGCCCCCGGCAACACACACCCGTATACAGAGAGTGCAAAATTATCCAGATATTGTGCACTTGGGTTTTGCTCAAATCCTTCAAATTTAACGGAGTAGCCTCAAAGATTTCACCTTTTTGTTTGTGGTTTCTTGCTATTTCTTGATTTCATGGCTTCTCCTTTGCTCAATGGAGCCATAAATCCCACACTCACTCGAGGAATTGCTCAAACCCCAAATGGGCTAGGTTTTCTTGGCTCAGATTTTAATGGAAAGCATTTTCCCAAGTTGAATTCTGGTTCTTGTGTCAAAATTTCAAGTACCCACAAGAGAAAAATCCTTGTATCCCCAAATTGCAGTGTTTCAGCATCTAGGCCATCCTCTCAGCCAAGATTCATACAGCATAAGAAAGAGGCGTTTTGGTTCTACAGGTTTCTATCAATTGTGTATGATCATGTTATAAACCCTGGGCATTGGACTGAGGATATGAGGGATGATGCACTTGAGCCAGCTGAACTCAATAATAGGAATTTGACAGTGTTGGATGTTGGTGGAGGTACAGGGTTTACCACTTTGGGTATAGTGAAACATGTGGATGCTAAGAATGTTACAATTCTTGATCAGTCTCCTCATCAGCTAGCCAAGGCTAAGAAGAAGGAGCCCTTGAAGGAATGCAAGATAATTGAGGGTGATGCTGAGGACCTCCCTTTCAAAACTGATTGTGCTGATAGATATATATCTGCTGGGAGGTAAAAAAAAATTCCCTATTTGTTTATGTTCTACATTTGATTTATCTAATTTCTGCCTTTTGTTTTGTTGAATTGAGTGGAAGTTAGTTATATTATTCAATTATCCCTCGACCTAGAATGGGTATTCCAAGTTTGGCTCCCATGTTGAGGGTGAACCACTATAAATTTTTCCTGTTTATGTTCGATTGTGTTTATTATAGCTTTTGTAAGAAGGGGTTAGGGTAAATTCCTTACTGTCATTTGATTGCCTAGAAAGACGTCAAGTGCATTTCACCTTGATTGTTATAATGAGGTCTTAATATTGATGTATTCTTTTGTTAAATGTAGATTTATTGATATTTCTATACCATTGAGCTAAATTAACTAATCGCTGATATTGCTTGTCTTCTTTTGTTAATGAACTGGTATATATCAAAATATCTGTGGACTAAATCAAGTTCAATATTGTTGATTACTAATAGGATGACATGTGGTTAATTATTCTATGTATAGTTTGTTGGATATTCAAAATTATGAAAAACCACTAAATCTAGTCGGCTATGCACAACAATTGACAACAATATATTCATTACTTAATGAAAACATGGGAGAGATATTTCCATATCATCTTACTGATTTTCGGCAACTGTACGTTCTTTTCCAGTATTGAGTACTGGCCAGACCCACAGCGTGGCATCAGGGAAGCATATCGAGTTTTAAGGCTCGGAGGGAAGGCTTGCATAATTGGTCCTGTATATCCAACATTTTGGTTATCTCGCTTCTTTGCTGATGTGTGGATGCTCTTCCCGAAGGAGGAAGAGTACATTGAGTGGTTTGAAAAGGCTGGATTCAAGGATGTTCAACTGAAGAGGATTGGTCCAAAATGGTATCGTGGGGTTCGTAGACATGGGCTGATTATGGGATGCTCGGTTACAGGTGTAAAACCTGCATCTGGGGACTCACCTTTGCAGGTAGTTTTCTAAATGTAATTCTTTGACTCTTTCAAACGTAACACTTTCATGACTCGTTTGGTAAGGTGGATCTTACAACATTGAATGACAAAAGGAAAAAGGCTAAGATATTGTCCTTTACAATCTACAATCCCTGTATACCAAACATGCCCACATGCTCAATTTGTTTTACTTCCTGGCTGTCACCCTGATTCTCTTGCTTCAGTTAAACTATCTTCATTGGTCGTATTCTATTTAAACCTTGTGAAGACAGCTCAATTCTTGTTATAGTTAATGCATGTCTATCTACACCTTTATGAAAACTGTGTAGAAATTGCTGTCATATTCCAAATACCTGCAGCAAGGGTATGCACCATCGCAAAATCACAAAGCAGTCATAATTTTTCTCCTACTCTAATCAACTCGTCTTCATTGCTCTCCCAGAAAAACGTCGTGCATGTATCTCAGTCTTTCTCTGATTCCAAGTTGAATTTAACTCTCCTCGTGCTTTCTTGAATAGAGAAGAGATGTCTAGATATTCACCCAACACTGAAGTGATACTTTTGGCATTCGACTAGACACTACGAGGCAGAAAAAGAAATTAAAACCTTCTTGTGGCAGCATAAACTTCGTATTGGTTGCTTCAGACTCTAGAATGAGAAGATAATGATCTCTACCTGACTAAATTTTGATCTGTCAACCTTGATTCTCCTGCATACCCTTTTTGTCTCATCGCCCCCTATCCCTACTCCTCTTTGTGTGAGATATGCAAGGAAGGAGCATTTGCTAAATGTGCGCTCACTCTTGATAATAATCCAGCAACCAATTTTGCGTATCATTTGTTAATATCTTGCTTAGTTAAGTTTAGAGAATTTCGATTTTTTAAAAAATTGCACGTGCTAAAAGAATCTTGATTGATTTCTTTTATTTTATTATTATTATTATTATTTTTTTTTTTTTTTTTTTTTTTTTTTTTTT